AAGGTGCAGCGGGCTTCAAACACGTTCCCCTCCACTGGTTTCAACCAAGCACTAAATTCGATGTTTTCCAACCAAATACGGTTGAACTTACACTTCCCCATATTTATTTGTAAGTAGATTTGAAGATACATGAGTTTCTGACTGTCGCTAGCTGAAGCTTGCTTGCTAGGTTACTAGCTGGGTGTTCTCCAATAAGGGGCCGGGGGAAACAAAGTTAGTGATTACTGGTTCCATGTTGATTTATTTCAATACAAATTGTTGGGGGGAACTGAAAGGCTCTTACCGTACTGGTTACTTTGCAGCCCGGACATTTCCCCCAAAACACATTTAGACGCTATCGCAACACAGAAAGACCTTTCAAATCCGATCATTTTTAAGACCTTCTAAATCATATTTAAGACCTTTCTTATTTTTTTGGTCATATTTAAGACCTTTTTAAGGCCTTAAATTCAGATTATAAAATGTAAGACTTTTTAAGACCCCGCGGGAACCCTGTATATTTCTATATATATATATATATATATATATTTATTTGCTTTCATTGGTTAGATGACAACAACATGGCTGACAGTTAAGACACACACAGACACCCCAGATAGCAAAAAGTAATTGAATCAACATTGAGATATTGTCACGCTGAAGATTTCAATCAACATTGATGTCAGAGATTGAAAATGAACTAACAAAAAAAGAGCCATTATTTATTCAGTTGATTATTACGATTTAATTCAATTATATGAACATTTTGTACATTTTTTGTCTACTTTAGCACACAAAACATTCTCTCTTTTAAAGGTCTTATCATATGCTTTTCTGGTTATTACCCATCCCCTTGTGTGTTATGTAGGTTTTTCTGCATGTAAACGGTCTGCAGAGTCACAAACCCTCAAAGTACACCCTGTAGCGAGTAAAACTCTAACACAGAAAATACCTGTCTATGCAGCGCTGTATGGAAGCTGTCAGCCGACTCGCCCAGCCCAGCTGTGTGTGTGTGTGCTCAGGCTGAGTTCCTCTGTGTCTCGCTGTCTCGCAGACCCCATGCCATCATCATGTTCTGTTTAAAGCAGCTTTGCTAGACGTTGATAACATGCATTCTTCACATGCTGAATATATGGATTTGAAAAAATGCACGTTTTGCAACATAACACAAGTTAAGGACATTTCTTGACATAATAAACATCTAGCAAAGCTGCTTTAAACAGAAAATGACGATGGCCTTTGAACACAGATTCTGAGGATGGTTTCTGCTTCTGCTTTTATCCATCAGGTCAAAATAGGATTCACACACCTGGCATCATTGTGATATATCAGGCCTCAGCCTCTTCAGCACATCACAATCAAAGAATTTAAGAATAAACAAATATAACAATTACAATCCAGTGCCTCTTGTCAACTGGCAACTCACAATTCCACACATTTCAATTTCACAGGCAAATGGGACTTCATGCTTAAAATGACTGCATGTGCAAGTACATACATTGAAGTTTTACCTGATCACTAACAATGAACTTGAACAGTAGAAATACTGGATATGCCCCTCTTTTGAACTGGCAACTTACACATCCACACATTCTTTGATTCTCTATTTCAGAAGGGAACTTATATGCTTCAAATGAAATGAATGCTGTGAGGTTTTACATGAGCACTAACCACAATGCACTAGAACAGGCGAAACATAGGTTAAAGTCATGTCTGGCTTCCCCATTAACATTCACAGCAAAAGCTTTGTTTTCCGAGAGCTTATGCGCTGCGAGCGTCGAGAGCCAAGCTCTTAAAAGATAGTCTGAATGGCTTCAAAGGTATACCTCATTTCCTTTGGAAAACCCATGTTCATTGCATAAAGTAGGCCAAAGAGGTATGCAAAGGCAGTAGAGAGGTCTGGTAGGTCATGCAGTACAATGGTCCCTTCCAACACAACAGCCACGTCTCGCACATTTGGCGATATGGCGGCATCATCATCTTCAATGACGGTGAGGATGGCCACAGACACACCTCTGAGCAATCGTTCTTCATGGTCAGTGTCCTGAGGAAAAGTAAAATATGCATGAATGAGTGCTATGGAAAACTAAACAACAAAATACATATCCACTGATTCTAACTTTAGCACCAATCTACTGAGTCTTACCATTCAGCTTGTGGAAGTTATAATTGCAAATCAACAGCACGGCATCTCTGGGCTCAAAATTAAATCTTACACAAAGTGTATTGTGCATAAAATGTATAACTAGTTTAGCTAGTTCCAAAGGTAGATAAAATAGCTAAGTGTGTTTGGTCTAACTTGAAACGTGTGTTTTGCTCCGCTCATCGGTCCGTCAGCGGCTGAGCTTTAGGTGAGCACTGAGCTGCGTGACCTAAACACGGCAAGTGTTGCGGCAAAGTATATATTTTTTCTCTCTCTCTTAATTCCCCAAGCCCCAAAATTCACTCGATGATTAATATACCCGTTTTAGGAAAAGTCACGAAGTTTGAGATGTGTTTTACCCTCAACTAAACAACAAGACCTGTAACACAACAATGTCAGAGTCACCGGCTGCCGGCTACCCCAATAAACAGACGTTAATAACCGGTGTAACGGCGGAACAACAATGCCGCCCCCCCCCCCCCCGTTCCGTGTATCGTCACACATACACACAAGTTCTGTATAAAACGTATGAACACGGCTCACAGCGAAAATGTATAACACATACATTTCCGCCAGTCAAGGCTAAGTTTCAACACAGTGGCAACGTTGTCATATCCCAATCAATGCTGTGTGTAAAGTTATAGCGTTATATGTCTGGCTCGGTTTACTTTAACACCGGTCATCTCACCATTTAAATGCATTATAGACGCCTTCAGGTGCTTGAACATAAATTCAACGCCATCTGTAGCTAAGCTAGCAAACCTAACTGTGGTGGGTAGTATCTATCTTTTGGTTTAAATAGTACAGTGCACTTTACTGTTAACATTCCTTGTTAGGTAAAACACACACTTACCTGATTAGGCAAACGAGGTAGACAAATGTCCCAAGAATCCCCAACGTCACAGCGATGTGTCTGACAAATTCACTCAGCGCAGCTCGCCCGCTCAGAGACAGTGACAGCCGGGACCCTGCAGAAACCCCGTAGACGAAAGCAATGCGCATGCGCGCACTGCATAGCAAGCAGTTGACATTCAAATGTAAATATTAACTATTCTGATTGGAGGGGAGAAAATACATATTTTAAGAAGGAGAACTCTGATTGGTTGCTCATTTGATATATGTATTGACGTTCAACTTTTACTGGTTCTCTCTTGCATCTTGTCTGAGGTGAGTGTGTGACTGTTCTTATAAATTCATTGTGAAGCTGGTTAAGATTTGTTTCTAAAATAAGGGCACATTTATGTCATTTATTAACAAGCAGGTTAAATAAAGTAATGTTTGAAGTCATTCAACTATGAACAATTAAATATATTTCAAGGCATACTTTATTTATTCAAGGTTGGAAGAAGTAATCTGATCCTTTACTTTAGAACAAATACTCATTAGCACATTTCTTTGCTAAATATATTTTGCTAAAGTATCAAAAGTTTCATGTAGATCTGCAATAAAAATATTTTTGGGGTATGGGGGGGTCTGGGACCCGGAGTAATCCCGGCGGGCGGGAGCTGTTATGTCCCATCATGACACGTATGGTGTATATATATATTATAATGCAGCACAATCTGTGTGCTCCCTGCCTGTCGGCTCTGCTGATCGATGTATAATAAGGCTCTGCTGCCGTGATGTGCACTGAAAAGTGTTTCTGTCGCAATATTATCGTTGTCGAGCTAGCTAACTAGCATACATTGTCACTATCTGCTAACGTTAGCTTTAGCCTTCGTTTTCTAATAGTTTTTTTCATAGGCTATAAACGGAGGTGGTATAAGTAGGCTATAGATCTTGTACTTGAGTAAAAGTAGAAGTACTCAGATCTTGTACTTGAGTAAAAGTAGAAGCACTCCGATCTTGTACTTGATTAAAAGTACTCAGATATTGTACTTGAGTAGTGGGGGGGGGGGGAGGGGTGCAGAGCTTCGTGACCGCGGAGCGTGTGAACGTTGTGATCAGCTGTTTTAGAGACCGACTCTGCTTTGTGACACAAGTTACGGTAAGCATTTCAGATTGTTGCCGCGCATGCGTACCTGCGTACCAGTTATGTGCGCCCCTGGCTGACATGGATGACAGTTAAGACACACACAGACACACTATAGCTCAGTTATATTTTTAATCAAAAAACTATTGAACACTGAAGTAACTATGATTGAATTGACTACAAATATGGCAATGGTGGTAAAGACTACAACAGCCATAATCCATTCTTTGTTTCAGGGACCTCTGCACCTGACCCTTTGATGTGTGATATTTTCATAACATGTCTGCATAGCAAGCAGTTGACATTCAAATGTTAATATTATATATTTCGATTGGAGGGAAATTACAAAAATATTTTAAAGAAGGAGAGCTGTGGTTGGTCGCTCATTTTTTAAAATTCGATATATAGTTTGGTTAAACCAGAGACTGTCCTCTCGTTCATCTTATCTTGTCTGGGGTGAGTGATCATTCCTCTTGTGAATTAATTGTGAAGCTGGTTAAAGCAGAATGTCTAAAATAAAGAGCTTATTTTTGTCATTTATGAACAAAGGAAAGCTGGTTAAATGATTCCATAGCTTAAATAAAGTAATTTTTTGAGTCATTCAACTATGAACAATTAAATATATTTCAAGGTATACTATATTCAACGTTGGAAGAAGTAATCAGATCCTCTACTTTAGTACAAGTACTCATTAGCACAATTGTTAGCTAAATGTACTCCAAATATCAAAAGTAAAAGTACTCTTTATGCAGAATTCATATTTTCACAGAATGATATTATGGTAATTGTATTATCCTGTTTTTATAAATGCAAGAGCATTTAAGCATTTACAACGTGGACCAAATGTTTAATCACCATGTGTGCAAGCATTGTGTTTGCAAGGTTTAATTTTAATTTTATTTTCACAGAGTGACGACTATTGAGCAGTTCATTACTGGTGAGTGTTGGTCAAAGACAGTGTTTGTAGTAACATATACCATGACAATATGTGGAACTTTCCAGTCTTTTCTTTGCAGGGTTTAATGCTGTGTTTTCCCCACAGATTGACAGCTTTGAGCAGTTCTCTACCGGTGAGTTGTGGTCCAAGACACTGTCAGTAGCATAAAGTATAATGAAAACAGATAGGCCCTTTATTAGTGTAAATCTAAGTGATTAGCAGCTTCTAATACAATTGATAATTTTTTTGTTTATAACTATTGTATGCTAAGCTATGCGATTGTATTGTACATTGTGTTAAGTAATTATATTTCCATGTCTGTGATGCTGATTAGTTTCTTCTCTGTTCTAGTTAAACAACCTACCGGCTTGACCAGCTACCCATCTACCTACTCATCTACCTTCTTCACTAGCTACCTATCTACCTTCACCACCTTCTCATCTACCTTCTTCACTAGCTACCCATCTACCTTCACCACCTTCTCATCTACCTTCTTCACTAGCTACCCATCTAGCTTCTTCACCAGCTACCCATTTAACTTCACCGGCTACTCATCTACCTTCAACACCCAGCTTTATCTCGTGAGCAGTTACAGTAAGTACATTTTTGTTGAACAGGATGCATCAACTATTAATGGACTTGTACGCTTTTGTTGCAGTTGAAATAAGTAATTGCGTAATTATTTGTACTATTTAAGGGGTCTGCTAATGTCTTTATTAATTCTAACAATGCCTACATACTTTCAGATGCCACGTGGTAAATCGTCCCGCCGTTCCCAGGCTGCAAAGCTACGCGTGGCTGGGACACGTGTGGGACATCAGCAGCCTGGCAATGCCAGTTTCGCACGTAAGTAGTCGAGGATTTTGTCATTCAATTTTGTATATGTTTAGGGTGTCCATTTTGGTTGTATCATTGTAAAATGTTTTTGCATGTGCATTTTTTACAGGCAGGCTCGTGCACAGATACACCCCTCTGTGGGCAAGCGAGCTAGTTATGATGAGGAGAATTGACTGAAATACACTTGATTTCTTTGCATTCATTTTTAGATAACTATCATGAAGCAGTGTTTGAAACATGGATTTGTTTGAAATATATACATTTTAAAATTCAATCACCGGTAGGACCCTTTATGCATTTGAGCCCTTTCCCTTCTAAAATCCTCTGCACGTGCCCGTTTACAGGTGTTATTGTAGGAAGGTGTGTTATTATTGCTTACATAATTTAAGAATTGTAAAGGTTCATTAAGTTTAATGTCGGTGTCATTTTCTCTGTTTTTAAATAGCCGCTGGCGGTACGGGTAACCGCCATAGAGTGCAGAAATGGCCAATTTCGTCCCTGACAGGACGACAACACAAGATGGTCATACCAGCGGAGTCTCCAGACAAGGAAGTATGAATTGTTTTCAGATTTTGTTAACAAAGTCTGGGTAATCATTAGTGATTTTCATTTGAAATAATGTCTTCTGTTGTTACAGTTTGTCCTCCTTGTTGGAGCTTCACATCTCCGTTCCATCGTCGATGGAATTGTGAAGATGCCAGAGGGAAGGTTTTCCTTTGGTGCCATGTCCACACCGGGGGCATGCGCAACCCAGCTGCGAACCGAGGCAGCCAATGCTGTGCTGCCTAGGACACCAGATGCAGTCTGTGTGATGGCTCCGAGCAACAACCTAACATCCAGTAGGACCATCACCGAAGCAGGAGAGGACTTTGCGGAGCTCCTCGCCACTGCCCGCAGTCGCTGGCCCAACGTAAGCTTATTTTTTATTGTATTTATTATAGTTCTTATAATATTACATTTTGTATTCTTATTGATGTGGTTGTATGTTTATGAATTTCTGAAAAATTGACATTTTTTTATCAACAAATTGTGAAAAATAGCGTACCTTTGTAACTTTGATTAGGTTTTTGCCATGGACTTCCCCCCGCGCCTTACCGTTGACCCTGACTACCAAGACATGATGCGTCAGGAATTTCGTCGTGTTGCGGCACGTATGGGTATGTTTAACAAATATTTAGGTTCAAGTACTACCGTAAATCATTTTCCTATTTTTCATTATTCTTTGTTTTAAAAGAGCAAAATATAATATCTGTGTGGATATGTTAGTAATCTTGATCTTGTTGGTTTTTTTTAGGCGTGAAGTACACACCGCTTGCTGAGTACTTCCCTTTCAAAGAACTTGACCTGTGGAGCAGAGATGGCGTGAGTGACATGGCAAATGGAAACGTTTTCTCTGTATACTTGTTTGTAGCTGAAATTCCAAGTTCCGTTCTTGAAAAAACATATTGAAGGTTATGTGCTATTTGTAAATGTATTTGTTTTTGCAGGTGCACTTGAGTGACAGTGCGGGAATGCCAATCCTGGTCGGTTCTATCTGGAACGCAACATACATGCAACTTGTTCCAGCCGAGCCGAAGCCATCTCCTGTTGTCCACAGAAGATCACCGCCTGCGAGGAGAGTCACTCCAAGGGTGATTGTCAAAGGAGAGGTTGCTAAATCACCGCAACTGGATCCTTCCAAGTGGACCGTTTTCGGCCAGGGCAGGAAGGTAATTGTGTGGCAGACATCTTTCAATAAGAGTGATATTCCCTGAGCAGTTTGCCTTGATAATGATGGAAGAGTACCCATTTGATTAACACAAGCTATGCTATTTATCTTTACAGAGGAGCCAACACGATGAACCTGAGCAGTCCATTGATGCACTTAAAGAAGCAGGGACTGTTCAGCAGGAGGTAGGTCAACTTTGTAGTATGCTTTGAAATCATTGGGGTATGTTTATTGCAGTTTATATGTGCATTTCTTTTTCTAAAACAGTGTTTCTTCATTTTTATTTCACAGGAAGTGGAGGAGAGTTATCTTCCACTGACACCTGTGTGGTTTAGCAGTGCAATGTTGGTTGAGATGGACAAGATTAGTCCATCCCATCTTCCTGGCCCTGATGAGTGCACACCACCGGTTCCAACACCACAAAAGGTAATTTGTTTGTATGTTGGTTGATGCCCTATTATAAAATGTATCCTTCCTGACAAACTTTAAATGTATTACAGTGAGGACAACTTATACTGTCCATAAGGAGTTATTAGTGGAGGATTAATCATTTTGTTTTCCTTACGTTAGAAAGCAAAGTTGGACCTGAAGCAGAGGGCTCCTGCCTCCAAGAAAACCCTGGCAAAGCGACAGGTTGTTCTTGTTTTCTTCTTTTTTAAAGGCAATATAGGACTTGTTTAAAACTAAGAAGTTACACGAATATCGGTGGTGTTATTTATTCTCAAGTTTACTAAATTGTTTTGTTTTTTTAGGGGGAGGCAGCTCCCATTGTTGTGGAGGTGATTTTACGGCCACCTACCAGTAGAGGGACAGTTGCTGTGGAGCAGCAGGTCTGTGCTCTTTGTGTGAACGATGTGCTTTCAGAGTGACATTTGAATGAATCATGCTAATTTATTGACATAGTTACTTTTGCTCATTGTTAAAATAAAATAGTTTCAGTTGTTAGCCTGCATGCAGTCAACGTTGTTTCAAGTGTACACAATCAATGACAAGAAACCTCTCTTTTGAGTTCCATTCAGTATGTGTGTGGGTAAGTAGAAAAACAAAAGTTAATATATAACAATAATCATTTTGTATTAGTAATTGTATATCTTTCTATTATTTAGTTAAACGTTTGTGAAACAATTTAAGACACATAGTGTTTTTAGCAGTTTTTTTATATATGAATTTTCTTCTAGGAGGAGCCATTGCCGGGGTTGGAGCCATTGCCAGGAGTGGAGCCATTTCCAGGGGTGGAGCCATTTCCAGGAGTGGAGCCATTTCCAGGAGTGGAGCCATTTCCAGGAGTGGAGCCATTGCCCCGCGCAGAGCCATCACTGAGCGTGGAGCCATCATCCAGCAAGGAGCCATCATCCAGCAAGGAGCCATCATCCAGCAAGGAGCCATCATCCAGCAAGGAGCCATCATCCAGCAAGGAGCCATCACCCAGCGTGATAGTGGATGTTGATGAGGACAACGGATGCAGAACAGGTAAGGGCTATGCTTGCATGTGTTCAGAAAAAGTGCAGCTGGCTGTTGTCGCAGGGACTGTTGTGAGGTATGCATCCGTTTCTGACGATAAAATATCTGTTGCATGTTCTATAGCGGCTGCGATCAAACATTTGATTGCGCCTGTGTGTTCGTGGAGCAGTACAGATATCGATGCCATACGTGTTGCAGGGTCAAAGCTTAACTCGTTTGTATTAGGGGAAGCCCATAAAATGAATGTAAAGCCAAAGAACTTGTGCAGGTTGGTTGAGCAGACCAGTGTGTTTGGACGTAAGTGGAACGTCAATATGGGTCTGCCAGTGTACGGCGAATTTAATTTGTCTGAAGGGGAACAGGTATTGTCGGAGAAGCTGCTTGAACACTTATCCAGGGATGGCATGTGTCTGTTTAGCCTAAATTCCGCAGCCAGTGTCATTATTCAACACAATGACTGTATTGTGGTCGTTGATTGTGGCACACGTGCTGCGTCTGGGTTAGCATCCAGTTATGGCACATCTGTAGCCGTGTTCAACACATGCCTTAATGACCTGATGTTTTACATCAGGAATCTCAATAATTCATTGAATGCACAGAAGTTTAGCATTACAAGACTTTCTGTGAAAGCAGCTGAAGTTAATTCGGAGACGGCTAGAGTCATTGATGGGGATATGGGGTGTGTCAGGGGAACATTCAGTCAGGGTGATCAACGCTTTAAATATGCAGGACTTCAGTGCATGGCTGTCAGTTTGGTAGGCATAGCCAAACACAACATTGACAGTGTGTTTACATGGCAGACCGACAACCTGGATAAAGTTGTTGTACTTGGTGACAATCTGTACACCTCCCTGCGTGACCAACAAGGTATCAGTGGAGGATACAGTCTACTTTCGGTTCCAGATCTGCCCAAGGAGACCATTATCGACGGACAAAGATTTCTGTTTCAATACAGTGACTTTGTGTCTGGAGATGTGGATGTGGTTGAGGGTGATATCATTGATAAGGGTGTGCACACCACTTTAAAATACGCACTGGAAAGCATGTGTAGTAAATATGACACATGCTTTCTGACAATGAATGGCGCTACATGTGCCATCATTGGTCAAGGTGGACACTACGCAGTGGTCGACTCCCATGCACGCAGTGCGTCTGGGATGAGCGATGGCGAGGGGCGTAGTGTTGTTCTGTATTTCAGAGGCCTTGAACACGTGTTTGAATACATATGGACATTTGCAGCGTTCCTCAAGAAGTCTCAAAAACAGTTTGAGATCGCTGGTGTCCGAGTCACTCACATAGGCCCAATTGAAAGCAGTAATCTGTCTTTGGGTCCAAGAGTGACTCCCAAAACGACAGAGACTGATTTGGGTTGTAGTTCAGCTATTCAGTCCACCAACATTCAGATGGGTGCAAAGCATAACATTCCAAAGGGATCTTCTGAGTCTCAAAAACTGTTTGAGATCGCTGGTGTCCGAGTCACTCAAATAGGCCCAATTGAAAGCAGTAATCTGTCTTTGGGTCCAAGAGTGACTCCCAAAACAACAGAGACTGATTTGGGTTGTAGTTCAACTATTCAGTCCACACTTGGCTGCACCAACATTCAGATGGGTGCAAAGCGTAAGATTCGTAAGGGATCTTCTGCTTGCAAAAAATTAAAAAAGAGTGATGTTACCGCAGATAATTCAGACGTTGCTTTTGTCAAAGAAGTAAGAAGTGGACGACTGCAGTTTAATCCTCTTAGTCATCAACTTGCACAAGCTCTTTGTGAGCAGTTACATGTGCATTCAGAAAAAGTAGATTTTGTGTCTACACAAATTGGTTTAATAGGGGCTCCATGTCTCAATGAAAAAATAGAGGGTGACGGAAACTGTTTCTTTAGAGCAGTGAGTCAAGCTGTGTGTGGTACACAAAGGCATCACACAATAATTAGGCGTGCAGTGGTTCATCAAATGCAGAGCAATGCTGTGCCTTATGAGCGTATTTTGACCTCCTCCATGTCAGAATACCTCAGCACATCCAAAATGCGGGAGGTTGGCAGTTGGGCAACAGAATTAGAAATTCAAGCAGCAGCAGATGCGTTTGGAGTTAATATATTCACATATTGTGATCCACGCTGGCTAAAATATAGTTGCGAGAACGGGCAGTTGTCTAATCAGGGGGTTTATTTGGAAAACCGCAATGGTAATCATTATGAGACTGTTGTGTGTGTAAAACAACCTAATTTGCAGAGTTGTTATGGGTATTGCAAATTTGACACTTCTTGTCCAAGACTGTACAATGTCAGACGGACAACTAGGGGCAAAAGGAGGGTTACCGAACAAACGCATGGTACATCGTCTGCTGGGGACACAGATTGTGTGGAAAAGAGTGATGTAAGTAAAATCACTCTTGAATTTAATCCTTTGTGCAATGAAGTGGCAAAAACACTTTGCACAAAGTGTAATATAGACTTTGAAAAGCAGGATGTACAGGGACCTACAGTAACTGGGTCCCTAGGTGTGGTCTGTAAGACCGAAAAAATTAAAGAGGACGCCAATAGTTTCTTCGGAGCGGTAGCTCATGTTCTCAGTGGTTCTCAGAAGAGCCATCGAAAGATTAGAAAGACTGTTGTGAAGCATATGATGAATCACGCAGAACAAACTAAAGTAGTTGGGGGATCTGCTTCAATTTCAGACTACATTGAGAAGTCTCGGATGAAGTATGTAGGACATTGTGCCACAGATGTAGAAATCCAAGGGACAGCAAATGCTCTTGGAGTGGACATTTTTATCTGCAGTGGGGAAAAATGGCTCAAATACACTTGTAATTGTGCAATGCTTTCAAAAGAAAAAATATACTTGAAACATTGTGATAAAAATCATTTTGAGCCAGTGGTTTGTATCAAACCTTACGATGAACAAAGGTGCTTTGAATTTTGTAAAGTGGGGGGTTTGTCAGAGACACGGTCTATGCGTAGCAGTGTCGATATCTGTACTGGGAAGGGTGGGGTTAAAGACAATGCAGAGAGTGTTGCCAGCTGTAGTCGTAGGCATTCAACATATTTAAAAAAGATATACAGCTCAAAAATTAAACGGTATTATAAAAGTAACACAGGGTACCAGCAAACGATTAGGGATGCGTCCATGAAAAAGTATAGTGATGCAGATTATCAAGAGATAGTAAGAGTCGGTCTTAGAAAAAGGTATTTCGAGGATGATGATTACAAACTCAGAGCAATTGAAAAAGATCAGGTTAGATACCATGAAGACCCATTGCAAAATCAGATGAGGAAGGATTTGAGTAAAAGTATATATATATTTAATCCATTGCACAAGGAGAAAGTAAAAGAATATAGTGTAAAAAAATACCATGACGATGATCTGCATAGAGAAAGGGTTATCGCATTAAGCAAACAGAACTATAGACTAAAGGTTTTACACAGACAAAAAGTTATAGCATTTAGCAAACGTAAATATAGGCAAAATAAATTGCATAGAAAGAAGGTAAAATCCATGAGTTCAAAAAGGTATCATGGTAATCCAGATTATAAGAAGCGAGTAACAGCTAGCAACAAATTGAAGAGGCAACAAATGCAAAAAAATAGACAGGTATTTGATATTGTGATGCAGCAGTTTTTGGCCAAAGTTAAGAATGGACCCGTTTTTGTTTGTAGCTGCTGCGAGAAGTTGTTATTTGAATCGCAGGCCTTGCACTGTAAAAAAGACAAATATAAGAATCAAGAACTCGCCAATAAATGCATCAGAGACACATATTTACACACATGTACTGATGACTGTGAAGTACCCTGTGTTTGGATTGATATTGGGAGAGGGCAGTCTTGGATCTGCAGCAACTGTGATACCAAACTTAAGAGAGGTGTGCTGCCACCTGAATGTGTTCTCAATAATTTGGCAGTAGACCCCATTCCCCCAGCATTGGCTTGTTTGAACAGCATAGAGCAGCATTTAATTGCCAGAAATATACCATTTATGAAGATGGTGGCATTGCCCAAAGGTGGGCAAAATGGAGTTCACGGACCGGTGACGTGTGTTCCAGCCAATATAGTCCAAACTACAAATTTGCTCCCCCGCTCAAGGATGGAAGGTTCCATCTTGCGAATAAAGTTAAAGCGTAGATCGACCTACAAAGGTCATTATAAATTTCAATTTGCAGACCCAATGCACATAATGCGGGCATTACAATATTTAAAAAGAAACAATAAGCACTATAGGGATATTGAATTTAATAAAAGTTGGTATAACGAGTTTTGTAGGGAGGAGGAAGAGAATGAACAAACCCACACCAAGGAAACATCATCAGAGGCTGCTGAGGAACAGCCATGTTTGTTTCAGGACATGGATTTGATGGCTGTGGATACTGATCTGGAAATTGCAGATCAGTTTTCAGATAGAGAACTGAACATGGCCCCAGCAGAAGGCAATAGTCCTGCAAAAGAAAGTTCATTCATTCCTGTAAGGGTTCCCGAGTTTGAGGAACTTGATGACGCTCTGCTTAATGAGTTTTGGAGGGAACGGGATGATGACTTTGTAGACAATTCGACCTTGATGGATTTGCCAACTAATGAAACGTCTGATGCTAATGCTGATGATGAGCTTTTACACGACAGGCAACAGCATTGCATGTTTCAGGACACATGTCTGATGCCTGTTGATATTGGACAGGAAGTGTTGGATCAATATTTTGATAGTACATTAAATGTCGCTCCAGCAGAGGGTAATAGTCCTGTGAGGCTGTTAGCAGACATTTCCAACGAAGCAAAATGCTTTCCTGTATTGTTCCCACTGGGCATTAACACCTACCGTGATTCGAGGCCCCGCAAGATAACATTAGCACGCTATTTGAATATGCGTGTTTTAAATGCTGATGTTAGGTTTGCACAAAATATAGAATACATTTTTTATGCTCAGTATTTGTCTGAGGTGCAACAGGTATTGTCCAGTGTGTCTATTGCATTGCGAAAAGGCAAAGCAGGCTTTCCATCCAAACCGATAGAAGATAATTTGTTGAATCAGGAAACCATAAGAAAACTGTTGAAATTTGATGATGGCTTTCGTTTTCTCTCACCTATTAGAGGTACTCCAGCATTTTGGCAGCGCGCACAGAGTGACCTCCTCGCTTGTGTGCGTCAACTTGGTGTGCCTACCTGGTTTTGTTCATTCTCTTCGGCTGATCTTAGGTGGGCAAATTTACTCGACGCTATTTTAAAACAGGAAGGTAGAACACAGACCGCTGAAGATTTAGATTGGGCAGACAGATGTGAACTCTTGCGTCGTAATCCTGTGACAGCGGCCAGGATGTTTGACTATAGATGGAATTGTTTTTTGAAAGAAGTACTTATGTCCCCTTCACACCCAATTGGCAAGATTGTAGATTATTTCTATCGCGTGGAATTTCAGCAGCGTGGCTCACCTCATGTGCATTGCTTGTTTTGGATTGAGAATGCACCCAAAATTGATAAGAATACAGATGAAGAGGTGATTCAATTCATCGACACATATGTGACATGTGAATTACCATCACAAGATGAGCCGTTAAAGGACATTGTGACATCTGTGCAACAGCATTCCAAAAGACACTCTAAAACGTGTAAGAAAAATAACACCGTTTGTCGATTTAATTTCCCCAGGCCAGCTACTGCCAGTACATTTATATGTCGCAGCAGTGAAGATCAATGCTTAGCAGAATGTAGCTGTAACTTGACACCATGCGAGTGTGTAAAATTAGAGTCTTTGGCCGAAAAAAAGGAGAAGAAGGAGTTTGCAGTTAAAATTCTGAACTCCGTCAAAAAGGCTCTTTCAGACGAAAATGTAATATTTGAAAGCCTGGAACAATTATTTGAAAGTCTGGGGATTAATCAAGCGATCTTCGAGGCTGCTTACAAATTGGTTGGTAGAAAGACACACGTTGTATTGAAAAGACAAATTGGCGAAGTCTGGATTAATCAATACAACAAACCACTGTTAAAATGCTGGAATGCCAATATGGACATTCAGTATGTGGTCAATGCCTATGCATGTGTTGTCTATATAATTTCCTACATCTCCAAGGCAGAAAAGGAAATGGGATTATTATTGGGTAATGCACATAAAGAAGCATCACAGCAGGGCAATCTAGATGCCAAGGATGCATTTAAAAAGTTAGGGAGTGTGTATTTACACAACCGAGATGTGTGTGCCCAAGAGGCAGTCTACAGATTGACACACATGTCCCTGAAGACATGCTCTCGCTTGGTCCAATTTGTGCCAACAGGGAAAAATACAATTAAAATAAGTAGGCCATTAAGTGTGTTAAAACAGATGGCAGATTCAAATAGTCTAACCACAGACAACATGTGGATGACCGGTTTTGTTGACCGTTACAAAAATCGGCCAAATGACGCGGTTTTTAATAATATGTGTTTGGCAACATTCGCATCCGAATACAGGGTTATGTCACAGAGTGAAAGTCTCAAAAATGCCATCGAACTCCAAAATAATTTCGGGTTTATTATTAAAAGAACGCGAACAAAAGCAGCAGTTGTGCGTTATGCAAAATTTTCCAAAACAAAGTCTCCGGAATTGTTTTTCTACAGCAATTTCCAATTGTTTCTGCCGTATCGCATCGACGAGCAGTTAAAGCCACACAATTGGGAAACGTGTGAAGACTTTTACAAGAGCGGTCGAGTTAGATTTGCCGATGGATCCAGACAGCTGGTGAAATCAGTGGTCGACGCGAATAGAGCTTTGTTTGAACTTGATTCGGATGAATTACAAAAAATCCAAGACTCTTTAGACGGTAATGTAGATTTTGAAGACGCTTGGTGTGACCTGTGCCCCGAACAGGAATTGGAAAATCTTCAATGCAAAGAAGAGCGGGAACAAATTGAAACCGTAGACGGGGAGCAAATAGACGCTATTCCTGATCTTGCCGTTAATAATCGGCAAATCGGCCATTTGGAAAAGACAAAGAATATTTTGAGCAGAAGCGAAGGGCTGAAATTAGTTCGGTCTCTAAACGAAACCCAAATGTCTATTTTCTATCAAATACGACAATGGTGTTTAGACAAAATCTCGGGTAAAAATCCAGACCCGTTTCACGTATTTATAACAGGCGGTGCTGGGACGGGAAAGAGCCATTTGATCAAGGCTCTGCAGTATGAGACAGCCAGGTTGCTCTCAACACTCTGTGAAAACCCTGATTCTGTGTGTGTGTTGTTGACTGCCCCAACTGGAATTGCTGCATACAATTTAGACGCAGCAACTATCCATAACACATTTAGCATTGGCGTTAATTCAAAATTACCCTACACACCTTTAGGCGAGGAAAAAATAAATAGTCTGCGGGCCAAATATAGAGACGTGCAAATTTTAATTGTCGATGAAATATCCATGGTCGATCACAAACTCATGGCATATATTCATGGCAGATTACGTCAAATTAAACAATGTAATGATTATTCCCCATTTGGTAGAGTTAGTGTGGTAGTTGTTGGAGACTTTTTCCAGCTGCCACCAGTGAAAGGAAATGCCTTGTATGTCGAGAAAGTAGGATTTAACCTGTGGCACAACCTATTTAGCATTGTAGAGCTTAAAACAATAGTCAGGCAGAAAGATATTGTTTTTGCGGAACTGCTAAATAGGTTGAGAACACGCTCAAAAGAAACAGCATTGTCAGCTAGTGACATTGATTTGTTGAAGAGCTGTGAAACAGGGGAAGAAAGTTCAGCATTACACATTTTCCCCACAAACGCTCAGGTTAATGATCATAATCTTGTGCAACTGTTGAAAACATGCCCGGAACATGTCGAAATAGAAGCTCAGGATACTGGCCATAACAGAAAAACTGGAAAACTTGAGTTAAAACATGGACATCACACCAACATCTATCAGACATGTTTAGCGGAACGTTTGGTTCTCGGGGAAAATGCTCGTGTAATGTTGACCAAAAATATAGATGTAACGGATGGGCTTGTGAACGGGGTATGCGGCACGGTGAGACACATAGTGATTTCACAAGGTGAAAGATTTCCACAAACTGTGTACGTCCATTTTGACGATGACAGAGTTGGGGCACAGCGCAGGAAAGAGTCTGCAAATGCATCAAGTCAATTAGTGAACTGTACACCAATTTTTCCAGAAGAGGATAGAGTCACCGTTAAAGGTGGGTTGCGTCGCCAATTTCCCCTTAAACTGGCTTGGGCTTGTACAGTACATAAGGTGCAAGGGATAACTGTTGATAGAGCTGTGGTGTCACTTAAAAAAATATTTGCTGCTGGACAGGCATATGTTGCATTAAGTCGTGTTACAAATTTATCAGGCTTAATCATTCAAGATTTTAAAGCTAATGCCATCTATTGTAAAACAAATGTTACGCAAGCAATTCAGTGCATGCCTCAGTTTCTACGTGAAGAAAGGATCCACCCCAAATTGCACACAGACAATTTTACTGTGTTTTTGACAAATGTGCAAAGTTTGACACGTCATGTCGAAGATTTGACCCTTTGTACACAGCATTTGCAGCCTAACTGTATTGCTGTTACAGAGACATGGCTGCCTGCCGTCTCATCATTTGACGACATTAACATCAGTGGTTATACATTTGCTAGTTGTTCTCGAAGTGCATCTTACACCAGCGAGAACCCAGCATTGGTTGCTCTGCAAGACCAACAACATGGTGGTGTTGGCATATATAGTGCAAACAGTATTGAATTTAGTATTCTTCAAGTGCCAGATGTAAATTTAGAATGTATAGTGTACAACTGTTTGTCTCACGACATATTAATTGCGGTAATTTATAGACCACCATCATATCCCATGTCTTTGTTTAAAGAACATTTAGGCAAATTACTAGATTTGTTAGATCTATTAGGTGACACAATTGCTGTGATGGGTGATTTCAATGATGACATTTTAAAAACATCAACAATTTGCAAATTTGTAACAGACAAAGGGTATGTGCAGCAAGTCACACAACCCACTACCGAAAAGGGCACATTAATTGACCATGTATATGTGAAAACAACACAGTATGATGTAGAATCAACTGTGTTGCCCACCTATTTCAGTGACCATGAGGGGATTCTGTGTTCTTTTGCACAACTGCTGAGGTAGAGTAACTTCAGACGTCAAGCAAATGTAGGTAGAAATTCTGTGTTTTTTCTTCACCTTGTGTTTCATCGTGCCAAATTATGCGCTTCTACAGTCTGTCGAGATATTTTATCAGATCAAAACATCCCCCCCTAGTTTAATTTGGTATGTTTTTAGGTATCATCCCCCCCTGGTTTAATTTGGTATTTGTTTAGGTATCATCCCTCAAGTTCATCATCTTCACCTTCCTCATTCAAAATTATCCTCATCTATCGGCCCCCTAAACCACATCCCTCCTTCCTCTCACTTAACTCCTCAAAACTAGCTTCATCCTCCCTACTTTTCGACCTTAACATGACTATTGAGTCACCCACCTGCGAGCTGTCATTCAAATTCTCTACTCTAATAGACAATTTACTGTCAACCAAAACTTCACCTTCCCGACCCATGCCAAAAGACACATCCTCGACTTTGTCTTCTATAAAAACCTCCCAGTACCTTGGCGTAATGTTTGGCCCCACCCTTTCCCTCGATCCTATCATCTGCCAAGTAATCAAAACCAAATTTTACCAGCTCTGCAAAGATCTGACCCTCTCCCTGAAATTACAACAGTCTCATAGTTAGGAATTATTTATTAATTTATATAGTTATTCTGTCGGTCTTCAGTTCTTAAAATCTTCTCACTTAACTCCCCAAACTAGCTTCATCCTCCCTACTTTTCGACTTTAACATGACTATTGAGTCACCCAGCTGTCATTGAAATTGTTCTTTATTATTAGTTAATTTTTAGCGGCTTTATCTTTCTCTCACAAACACACACACACACACTACACAATAAAACTAATACAAACAATAAATATTCATAAAATAGGAATAAAAAGGCAATTAAGTTAAAAGTCATATTAAAAAGGTAGGTCTTCAGTTGTTAAAAGTATGAACGCTCTCTGCTGGTCTAGTTGGGAGGGCACATTGGGGAGGGCGAAGTTCATTTTTATTGTGTTCAATATGTTCATAATTATTGTGTTCAATATGTTCAAAATAAGGTTTCTTTTTCCTGCATTACAACAGCATTTTTAATAACAAAATTATTGGCAAACATTAGGGCATATTTAGCAGATATTCCATACTGCACTAATAACATTTATCCACACATAGGGAAACACATTTTGTAAAATTATGCATCAATATTAAATGATGTCACTCATATGCTGTTGCTAATGCAGGTTTTGCTTTGCCTTCAATGTAGCCTAGAAAAGCAAAAGGCACTGGTAATTGGTACTTCCAGTTTACTGGGATGGGGTTCGATTCCCTGCGGTGTCCTGCTGGTTTCTTTGGCATGTACATTAAAGATCATATTATTTACTACTATAATAATGATAATTATCAAAGTATTACTAATTAGTATCTCATACAACTGACACAAGCTTCCAAAAACTCTCAAAACGGTCAAGAAATATCAATAAAATAAGTATAAAATAGGAATAACATGCAATTCAGTTATAAGCTATATTACAAAGTTGGATTACAACAGCATTTCTAATTAAAAAATGTTTTAATGGCAAACATGAGGGCATATTTAGCAGCTAATCCATACTGCACTAATGAAATAGTTATGGACTTATAGGGAAATAAATGCTGGGAAGTTGTAGAGGTGGTATTTACCATAATGTGAAGTATGTGGCCATTGGGATTGTTTTCCTTTGAGATATGAGAAAACCGTGTTTCATGGCGAGCATTGTGTTGCCATGGCAACTGCATTTGAGGAAATCTCAAAACTGACACATATATGTGTCGAGGGCTGTACCGTTAGCACACATGTGAAGTTTGAACAGTTTTTGACAATTTACACAGGAGTTATAGCAATATCGTGCTTAACGGTGAGGGATGCGTTGCCATGGCAACAGCTTTTGAGTGTTGAGCTGTTGTTGGCCGGACCATTAGCCATCATCTGAAGTCTGGTGCCATTTGGATGATTTTCATAGGAGTAACGGAAACATCGTGTTTTTTGGCGAGGGATGCGTTGCCATGGTAACGGCATATGATGACATCCCAGAATTGGCGTAGAGCTGTTCAGGGCCGGACCATTAACTGTCATCTGAAGTCTGGTGCCGTTTTGAACCTTTTCCATTGAATTAAGACAACATCGTGTTTTACGGCGTGGGATGCGTTGCCATGGAAACGGCATACGGTGAGATCTCAGATTTCACGTAGAGCTGTTGAGTCATGGACCAGTGATATAAAAGTGAAGATTGTGGGACGATGGGACCGTGTCGATTGGATTTACAGCGACACCGTGTTTTATGGCGAGTGATTCGTTGCCATGGAAACGGCATACGATGAGATCTCCGATTTCACCTAGAGCTGTTGAGGGCCGGACTAGTAGCCATGATCTGAAGTCTTGTGCAGTTTGGACAATTTTCCATTGATGTAAGACAACATCGTGTTTTACGGCGAGTTATTCGTTGCCATGGAAACGGCATACGATGAGATCTCAGAATTGGCATAGTGCTGTTGAGGGCTGGACTAGTAGCCATGATCTGAAGTCTGGTGCAGTTTTGACCATTTTCCATTGACTTAAGACAACTTCGTGTTTTACGGCGTGGGATGCGTTGCCATGGAAACGGCATACGATGACATCCCATAATTGGCATAGTGCTGTTGAGGGCCGGACCATTAACTGTCATCTGAAGTCTGGTGCAGTTTGGACCATTTTCCATTGACTTAAGACAACATCGTGTTTTACGGTGTGGGATGCGTTGCCATGGAAACGGCATACGGTGAGATCTCAGATTTCACGTAGAGCTGTTGAGCGCCGGACCATTAACTGTCATCTGAAGTCTGGTGCAGTTTGGAAGCTTTTCCATTGACTTAAGACAACTTCGTGTTTTACGGCGTGGGATGCGTTGCCATGGAAACGGCATACGATGACATCCCATAATTGGCATAGTGCTGTTGAGGGCCGGACCATTAACTGTCATCTGAAGTCTGGTGCAGTTTGGACCATTTTCCATTGACGTAAGACAACATCGTGTTTTACGGCGTGGGATGCGTTGCCATGGAAACGGCATACGGTGAGATCTCAGATTTCACGTAGAGCTGTTGAGTCATGGACCAGTGATATAAAAGTGAAGATTGGGGGACGATGGGACCGTGTCCATTGGATTTACAGCGACACGGTGTTTTATGGCGAGGGATTCGTTGCCATGGCAACAGCTTTTGAGGAAAACTCACTTTTGTCATATTAATGTGTTGAGGGCCGGACCATTAACTGTCATCTGAAGTCTGGTGCAGTTTAGAGCATTTTCCATTGACTTAAGACAACATTGTGAAGTTTGGTGGCGTTGTGAGCATGTCAGTTGGTGTTATGACATCATCGTATTCCATGGCCATGGCGTTTGATGGGCCTAGCATCGAGCGAACGCGAACTTTGGCGCCAAATAACGGCTGCGCCGTGCGAAAGAAAAAAACTTCCGTGATAACTTTTAATTGCCCATGTCTCGAGATGCTACCCGACGAATTTCGAGTCGTACGGATAAAGTCCCTGGGAGAAGATAGATTTTGCGTGGAGGACGAAAAACGCGATAAATCGCGTTTTTCCGACGCCAAATTCAAAATGGCCGACTTCCTGTACGTTATTTTTTACCCCTCCAAGAGGCTTTTTTGTTCGTCTCCGCACCCTAGATATGCGTAGCGAGTTTCGTTTGTTTACGTGAAAGTTAAAGTTGCCGGCTGTACGATATAAGCGGAAGTGGGCGTGGCCTACGCAATTTTTAACGTAAAGTTCCGGAACCAATTACACCTCGCAATTTTGCGCACTTCTGACGCGTGTGCGAAATTTGGTGAGTTTTCACACATGTGGCGGGGGCCAAAAGTGTGCGCAATGTGTTCAAATAAGAATAATAATAATAATAATAATCGGACCAATATCAATAATGCGCAAGTTAGTCACATGGGCGCGAAGCGCCCATGTGACTAGGTTCGCGTGGGCTACCTACTGTCATGATTTAGGCCACTTTTAATGGGCTTTTACCCCTATTTTACACTGTTTTTAGTGGGTTTTGCATGGTTATCGCTCGCTTCGCGAGCGACTAAATTGATCGTAACGATATTAATTATGCGAGTTGCAGTCACGTGGGCTTCGCCCACGTGACTGGGCTTGCGCGGACTATCTGCCGTTACTATTTCCGAACCTTTTCTGTGCTTTTGCCGGTCGTTTTCCCTGTTTTTGGGTGTTTTTAGCAGGTTTATCGGTCGCTGCGCGACCGATTTCAATAGGGTCTTCGCCGACCTATGGTCTCAGACCCTAATTAAAGCTGCAAGCAGCGTTGAGCGGGTCTTCGACGCTCCGCAGGCTGTTGTCCGCACGTCGAGGTATCATGCAGGAGTTTTCCGGACTCGGCCGTTGGCAAACGTGGGAAGTTTCAGGCCGATCGGACAATGTAAATGGGAGTTACAGCAGTATCATACAGTAAACATTGTGTTTGATGGCGAGTGATCTATCGCCATGGCAACGGCATATGATGACATCCCAGAATTGGCGTAGAGCTGTTGAGGGGCGGACTAGTAGTCGTCATCTGAAGTCTGGTGCAGTTTGGACCATTTTCCATTGACTTAAGACAACTTCGTGTTTTACGGCGAGTGATTCGTTGCCATGGAAACGGCATATGATGACATCCCAGAATACGCGTAGAGCTGTTGAGGGCCGGACTAGTAGCCATGATCTGAAGTCTGGTGCAGTTTGGAGCATTTTCCATTGACTTAAGACAACATGGTGTTTTACGGCGTGGGAAGCGTTGCCATGGAAACGGCATACGGTGAGATCTCAGATTTCGCGTAGAGCTGTTGAGGGCCGGACCATTAACTGTCATCTGAAGTCTGGTGCCGTTTTGAACCTTTTCCATTGAATTAAGACAACATCGTGTTTTACGGCGTGGGATGCGTTGCCATGGAAACGGCATACGGTGAGATCTCAGATTTCACGTAGAGCTGTTGAGTCATGGACCAGTGATATAAAAGTGAAGATTGGGGGACGATGGGACCGTGTCCATTGGATTTACAGCGACACCGTGTTTTATGGCGAAGGATTCGTTGCCATGGCAACAGCTTTTGAGGAAAACTCACTTTTGTCATATTAATGTGTTGAGGGCCGGACCATTGACTGTCATCT